TTCGAGAGTGAAATATAAGTAGGTATTGTACTCAAACACGTTTAACATGGAGTATTGTATGTAAAGCGTATCGATGGTTCAGCGTACGTGTATGCCAACGTGTTAAAAGTTATAACTAATAACTTACAAGCACACGTTTAAAAATTTTTCTGAAATTATTCATTTGAAATGCTTTGATAAAATAGTTTAATTTAAAATAACAAAAATTTCGTGAACGAAACGAGCAATAAAATACTAAAATTAATTTTTAATTTAAAAAAAAAAAATTAATTCAATACAAAATATATTCTTAACTATTGGTATACGACCAGCTATGTCCAAGACAGTATAAACTTAAACAAAACTAGAATTCAGATGCTTATGATTCAATGATTAATCAGTTAAATAATGTTAAATAATATAAAAAAGCTATCAGTAGAAAATCAGCATTTATATGATCAATTCTACTATAAGTCCTTCCTAGTCTTCCTCCATCACTATTCGCGACATTATACAATTTTTAAGTGAAATATTATAATTTTCAGATAATCTACTGTTTATAGATTTCAAAAATCAGTTTTCGAATAAATTCATTATCATTATTATTTATGAAAAAATGGGGGTAAGCATTCTTGCTGTGAAACATTCTGTATACTTATTTGGTCGACATCACCAAAGTGATTCACGATTCACATTTCATATTCATTGATCGTTGCTATTAGTGTTATTACCTTGAAAATGTTATTATGTCTTCGTTTAAGCTATGATACTGTACGACGGCACCTATTTCACCTACATACACAATATTTTACGTATTTTATATTGCAATAAATAAACAGTAGTCGTCTATAGCAGTTTCTGTCACTTAGTAACATGAGTGATTAACTTCGTTAGAATACTGATCAGATAAAAAGGTGATGAAAAGGTTTAATTTAAACTTTTCTAGTTATATTTTCTTACTTGGAATGGATGTACGAAAACTCAGTGTTAAGACTTTAGCAAGTTTCATATTAAATAATACATTGACATTTGTTGTGATGACATACGTATATATTGCTAAAATTACTGTTAGTTAATTGCTTCGAATCGATTCATATTAATATTTAATAATTATCTTATCATACCGTCCAATCATAGAATAATAAAATTGAGGTTTCCGATAATTTTGTTGAAAATTATAAAAACGATAATGCAGCCTTTCCCTCTCATTTGTAGGCTGATTTAACTAAAAATCCAAATAGAGCTATAAACGCTTATATATCCTTAAAATTAATTTTACAAGTCACCGAAATGTACATATTTTTACTTTTGTTCTATCAGATTTCAAACCAAAACTTGTGTAAGTACCTAAAACTTAATAGTATATCTTAATCAAATAAACTCGAAAATTAAAAAAAAAACGACAGTGTAGATAATGCTATAATAATAGTTTTAAAAATTATATTACACATTTAATTTATTCTAACAATTATTATTTTTATTATTTAATAACATTAGATACAATAAGTAATTTAATAATTTTAACTTACTCTTTAGTTTTAAGTTTTGTTTATTTTGGTATATTATGTATTACTATCATTTAACGCAGGCTATTTTAATATAATGAATATTATGATTTTTTTCTCTAATAATTATTAATTTTAAACTTTCGCATGATTCACTGGTGGAATTTATACTAAAAAGGTACTTTGTGGCGGTGTTATATGCGTCCAAATAATATATTACGTGTTTATAATGTTTGTGACATAACACTCATACACCACAAATAGCGTTTGTAACAAAACTAAAATTAAATTAAATTCGTAAATAAAAAAAATATCAAATCGAAGATAATAATAGGGAAAAACAATTTTAAATTGAAAAAATGGCGGGTGTATTATTATTTATTATTGTGTATAGTGCAGACGGTAGAAGATGGCGACAAAATGAAATTCAATTTAAATTTTCCATCGACCCGTCTGGAAACTGCACGATAATTGCAGCGTACGCAGTAGGAATATATTGGTAATGAAATGTTCAAATAGTTATTATTGTAGTATACAATTGGCGAATCCTATAAGAGAGATAATAAAAGGATTGCAACAAATACTCGCAAATATGTCAAAATAACTCCACTTAAGGTAAAAATATAAATTCAATTCTGCTATAATATATTAGGAATCACAATAAGATACACGCAATATTTTATCTATAGTCTTCTAAATATATTCCACGAAAACAATAAGAATTATTATTATTAAAACACACTTTTCCATTCTTGTGGTTTCTTGGAGTTTGAGTACAATTACTATATAAACTATAAAGAATAGGTATATTATTAGTACTTATATATAGCTTTATACGCACTCTGGGGATGTAACGGTTACATTTAAAATAATATCAACAATTTAATAAATAACTAAATTTAATATACGCAAAAAGAAAGTAGTGGAAAAAATGAAAATAAATTAACTAAAATAATGCAGAGTTACCTTAAAAACTAATTATTGAAAAACTATTTAAAATTCAAATCAAAACAACAATTATCATATAATATATTATTATGAAACCGTATTCTACGCTTCAGATGTGACTGAGTTTTACGAAGATCTATTTGACACCATATCTGTGAACTCGAACAAGTATAAACTTATAAATGTGGAATTTATAAAATGTGATTTACGTGTACGCTAGTTAAAATACATGACAATTTAGGTCATTTAAAATTTGGATATAGCTTGACAGACCATTTTATGATATCTAATATTATTATGGTAGTACAGTTCATCAAGGATATACAAATCAAACATATCTCAAACCTGTGGTTTTAGCAGAATATTTCATAATAATATGTTGTGCGGTTTGGTTTAAGAATCGTAATCAAGTGAACTAACAAGCCAACAATTTTGCATAATACAATATTTGAATACACGTATTTGTTTTATTAATATATATACTATATGAACAGAAAAATATTTTTAAAATACCCACAATGTGACAAATCGTTTAAATATTCAACTTTGGTATTGTTTACGACATTGTGTGGCCGAATTGTAGTCCATTAAAAATGTGTTTATGGTCAATAAATAATTTAAGAAAATAAAAATGGTTTTTTAAATGTGATAAATACAAAAATTTTCAATATAAATATACTAATTTATACTCGAAAATTAATACAATGCATATAAAAAGAATCGTGAATCATTCAATCGATTGTAATTTTTAAATATCCGGTAAATATATATATTTACAGTTATAATATTATAATATTAAGATAGCTATCCGCACGATTTAAATTTTTTAAATAAATCATTGTAGACACCATAATATAATTGTTTTAATAATATGTTCAAATTTTTTCGAAATTGTACACGATTACTTGATTTTTAAAAGTTTTGACCATATAATACATACAATTTTAAGCGTTTGAACATTTAGAAATATTAAAAGTAAAAAGGTTGTTTGTAGCAATAACATGTATTTCATGTAATATTTATGATGTTAACAATTTTTGAGAAATTCATAATCGTCACTGTTATATAATGCTTTCATGGACTTGAACTAGATTTTTGGTCAATGCATTTTAAAATTTCGATCTCAGCATCTTGCACATATGCAAGAGTCATGTACAAAAGTAATAATATTCAATTGATGTATTTTTGACGTTTACCTGGAATATTTTTCACTAATTCACTGAAATATAATATCATTTATCGGAGTTAAAGTATTTGTATTAGTGGTTTATCGGTATGTCCGAAACCATGAAACGCGGCGAATGACCGAGAGAAAATGCTGATAAAATAAAAATTTCGTTATCTGGGACGCAATTCCAAAAAAAAAAAAATCATCGGTTCTTTTACCCAGCTCGCAGACCACATGATTGTTTACTCTTTCTATCCGCATCCTGTACACTGGCGTATATTGTACGACTTAATACTAATATTACGGTATACCACGCCGAGCCGCGGCAGATCATAGGTCTCGACACCGAGCCGGCCGAGAAGAGAGGTCATGCTCGGTTGCCGAGGTCGTACATATCCACGGATGAGAGATCGGTTTAATAAGACGTTTTTTTTTGTTTTTTTCATAACCCTATTAGCCAACCAAATTATGTATACAATAATATACATCATACGTACTACACTGCGCAGCCATAGTGCACCATAACATCTTCTAGGCTTTTTTCCTCTATACCTTCCCTCCTATTTTCTATATAATATCCCGCGGGCTTGGATATGATGTCTTGAATATTTCTATACGTTCACACTCTACAGCCACCGAGTACACAATACTATACGACGATCCGATACCAAAGGTCCGGGACTACGGTGCACAACATGAAAGATGATTTCGTCGCGATACGGAATCAACGCGCATACCGAATAATATAGTTATATTATGCGTGGGTAGGTAATTCCATATAATATACAGTAATAACATTATATAATATTGTATATACATATACATAGTTATATAATGACCCGATATCTCGGCAGCAGTTGGCACGTCATTAAGATACTCGAATTGAAATTTAAAATTTTTTGAAACGATTTAGTCTTAGCCTCAGCTAATTCACGTGTTATTAATACATTTTTATTCTGTCAAGAACCTAGTACATAATAACTACCACGAAAACGACGAGTCCCGCCGAATAGTTCTTTATGTGGCCTATATTATGAAAGAGTGAATCGTTCGACAGACCTATAGCTTATCTATACAATGTTTTTAATAACAGTTGGCCCTCGTTATATATTTATGTATTAATTTTTTTAATGAGGAAAAAAACGTTAATTATGTTGTAACTTCATATACACGCAGGTACCAATTATTTTTTATTTCATAAACTACATCGGTCAAATAAATTCGATAGATTCGTTCCCCGCAAGACGCGTAGTGTATATTATGTATATACTACAATAGTATATATTAGTATATTGTATTCACCCAGTGGATTGTACAACTATCCAATATATTATTGTGTTCGAACCTCACGTTTTTCATTAATTTAATAATGTCTTATTATACTGTGTGTTTTTTTTCAGCCGCGCTGTGGAACTGCAATTGCTGGTGGAATGCCGCCAATATTTACACTTTCGCCGTGCAACCCGGAGTAAGTACTCGTATAATAAATTATTAATATGATATTATTCGATTTGTGTTGTATGACAGAGCGTCAATGTATTCGATAATAGATCGCGAGTGAGATAATCGCATAGCTAGGAAAATACACCCCGCCTGAGTATAATAATATATTGGAGGTATATCTGAAATCTGAATAATGACATGGTGTGTATCAATAAAGTTATATAGTGATAGTGATTATTTGTGCCCGACGCCCAAACAGCAGTTCTGTAGGCATCTATTCCAGCATGTGTGATTGTTTTGACTAAATTACATAACTCGGACACGCTCGAACAACCGTAATATGGTATAGTTAGGTACTAGGAGGTACCAGCTATTATACCCATAAGTCATAAGTCATAACACTCATAATACATAATATTATATTACGTGCTCATATAACGTATACGTAAAATATTGAGGTGATTGTTGTCGGTGTTTAAGACGACGGATAATCGTATTATATACACACAATCGTTAGTAATTATGCATTCTTAATTATTTATAATATATATCGGGTGATTTTTCTTTAATTGTAAACACTCATTTTTTCAAAAATTATCAACATTTATTAAGTTTTATTATTTTATTTTTTTTTAATGACAACTTACATTAGGAGTAGCGAAGTAGTATAGATCAACATTTTACGGACTATAAGAGTATATTGGATATAATCCAGCACAATAATGTACAGTTATATAGTACAGTATAGTATATACTACATACTACAGGTTACTTTACTTTACTCATCAAATTTTAAAAATGGACAAACAATATGATAAAATAAAATATTTTTAAAAACTAATAATTTTTGAGATTTTAGTGTTTACTGTTTAAATACTCATCAATATTCATCATGTATATTTATTTGTTATATACGTAAAATATAAATCTTTATAGAAAATAATTATATTATAGACATTTATAGTCTACAAATACACAGGACAATAATATAGAAATACTGTAGGTAGTGTAGGTAACGAATTTGATCGAGATTCAATTATTAATTGCAGGATATTCTAATTTGTACACACTTTAACCTAAACAGTCTGATTATTTATCTACTTTTAATTTCTAAAATAAAATCATAAACATTTTTAATAGATAAATATGAATATAATGACATATACGATTAACTAGACCTCACGGAGAAAGTATCTGAAAATTAGTATTACTGTGTGTGTGTTTTAAAAAAAAATTACAATATTCGATATCCTTGGCAATTGCGACTGATTTTTAAATTATTATGCTGATGTATTCATTAAAAATTCAGTTCGCTTGGTATATTGATTTTCAATGTACGTATGAATAGTATATACTTATAATGTATAAGTTAACGTTAAAAAATTACTATAGTATTATAGATACGTAGGAATCGGTTTCATAACTGGTTATAAAATGACATGTGTTACCTGTATACACATAGTTATATTTTCGCCAAATAGATATCAATGTTTTGAATATTCGTTCACATCCACACGTCACTATGACGTACATACCAACGTTGAAAACAATTTCAAGAACATTATAAACATAAATATCTATTGATTCAATTACTATATAATAATTATGGTCACTCGAAATGCTTAAACGATTTAGCAGAAAAATGTTGATGAAACATAGATTGTGTAATACTATTTAAATATAATACATATATAATATTGTACTTACTTATAAGTTATATTATTACTAAATATAATATGTATATGAAATACAACTTTTAAACATATTAATTTAGGTATCATTATAATATTCTTATTTTTGTAAATCTACTGAGCTTAATTTCACTCATGGATAATATATATTTTAAATTAAAAAATATAGAAAAATCTAAAAAATATCTACGTCTTAAATAAAGTTTTCGATAAAACTTTATGCTTAAAACATAAAAAATTTTTATAACCTTTGACTTTCAATTTTTTAATATAAAACAGATATGATATTTACTTTTTTACTTCGTAATATATATAGTATGTACTTATCTTATGTTTAATCATACATTAATTTATTCTAACTATGTGTATTATATATATTATTATTATTTCTTACTTTGCACATTTTGTATCATATTATACCAATAAATATTTCAATATAATTAAAACGCTAATTAATGATTATTATATAAAAAATAAAATAATAAAATTTTAGTTATTATGTAATAGTATGTATTATAAAAGTATATAAAAAAAATAAAATAAAATATTAAATATTTGAATGAATATTAGTATAATATCAGTATAGTTACTACCTACTAATTTTAATAAAATAATATTGGCTTGACCTAAATCAAGTTTTTCAATCAATTGACCTAAGCATTTTATTTGACTATTGTACTTGTAATTTGTATTGCTCATGGTATCCGCCGAATATTTAATTAATAATGAAAAAAGTTTTCTGAAAAACTCCATATAGAATTCAGTTATATAAAAAAATGTTGCCAAATACACTTTTACTACCACAACCAACAATTATTATTATCCGTTAGAATGTTTGGCTAGAATCAGCCTTCTTTTATACAGATCATTTTAAACAATTCAAAAATGTAATTGAAAACTTGGAAGATGAAGCAAAAAGCATTCAAAATTGTAAATCAATTTTAAATAAGTTAAATGTGAAATTTTATCTTACTTACATTTAAGTTTTTTCATTAATCATTGAACTTGTTAAGCATCTTAAAACAAGTAGAAAATTCTGTAAATACTTCCTACTAGAGTAAATAGTACAATAATTAAAATAATATTTAAAAATGTTTTCGATAAAAATAAAGGATAAATAGTTTTAAAAGAAATTTCGAAAATACTTCAACGTGACAGTGCTAATTTCAACGATTTGTTTATTCCAAATAAATTATTCACCGGATATATTAGCCAATTTTAAATATTCACCAATAACTAGTGTTTACATTGAATGCAGTTTTTCATCCTATAAGTACATTCTTACAAATCGTCGTCATTATTTTACAGAAATAAACATGGAACATACTTTAATAATTTATTGTTTTTCCAATTAACAGACTAAAATCTTCAAAAAATTAATAAATAACTTTCGTTACAAAATTAAAATAAAATATAAAATTTAATAAAAATTTAAATTTTATTACTTATGTTTTCCGTTTTTTCTTGCTTATTTCGACTTTTTTGAGTGCATATACTACAAGTGTTCACTAACGCATAGTTTATTGTTTATCGCAACTTCCTGTTCTAACTGTGACTTTTATTATGTTTTTAATCACTAAAATTTATTTAGTTTTTTCATAATAATCTCCATTTGTGTAAGGTCAGCCATGGCTTGTTTTTAATTACTTATTTTATAATATGTTTATAAAAATCAATGGTTATGATATTGTATTCTTGTTAGTAAAAATGAAATTTCATGTTTACAGAACATATTAATATATTAATCTATGGTTTACAATAATGTTAATATATTTTTGTGTGAAATTTATAAATTGTAGTTAACATAATTCTACAGTCATAGAAAAAATTAAATGTATAGAAAGCAGCTAATAAACAAAAGGGTTATAAAATGATAAGTAATACGTTGGTATTTTAATTTTTCAAAAACTAAGAAAAAAAATTAAGCCCCCCCCCCAAAAAAAAAAAAAAATTCTGGTAATGACACTGACCTATAAGTTTATTCATATACTAAATTTTATTTAGTGTAACATTATTTTAATAAACATATTATACAAACTATTTTAATAAAAAAATGCTTATAAAAATGTGTAAATTTATTTCAAATTAAAATCATGTTTGCAAAGTATCAAAATTGTTGATGCATGAGTAAAGGGTAGGTATAGGCGTGCAGGATCGATTAAAATTCGTTATCTAGTTTAAACTCAAAACTGCAGCATATAGTTTCATCAGCAAACATTAACATTCATTAATGTCATATTGTGTGTACGTTTTCAGTATTTGGACTTTGACAATTTACCGGACACGAATTTCTCATGCGACGGCAAAGTCATCGGAGGTTATTATGCGGATGTGGAGACCGGCTGTCAGATGTTTCATGTTTGCACCATTGGCCAAAAAGGTAAGAGGGAAATATAAACAAAAACAAAGCCCAACCCAATTCGATTTTTCGCTTCGTAGAGACAACTTTCTTCCGACACGCTAGTCGGTCGGTTATTGCCGTCACTCGATTATATAACCGGTGCAATCCAGTTATCGTGATTTACATAAAAAAAAAAACCGCCACACGTATTTAGTCCATGCTATTACCTATACCTGCAACTCCGGCTGCAGAAGTTTATGTTGTATTTTTGTTTGTATATAAGTATTATATATATATATACGTTTTTTATATGCGTTTTACATGCACCTAAACCTAAAGGTGTACCTGAGCGCACATAATGTATATATTTATCAATATAGGGTGCGGGCATTGCAGGGTGATACAAAATATTATGCATATATTATATACATAAATTATAATATTGTCTATAATCTCCGAACATAATATAGGTACACGGTGTACCATGATACGTAATTCCCCCGTTGGCTGGATTTATATAAAATTATACGTACGAGTAAAACGATAAATTTATATTATGTATTCATAAATAGGGTGTATCGAGATTTCTAGAAGGTCTGATTGATATTCAAACGTGATTCTATGTTTTTAATGTAAAATCGTCAGATTTCCACAGGGGTAACGACGAAAACGATCGACGTCGACACAACGTCTCGATAAAACTCTGACTGTATCAGTGGGCTCGTATTATTATACATATTATATATGTATATATATACGTATAATATAGTCTCCGTGCCCAATGAATAGGATCTTATTTTTACGCGTATATTACTCGTATATATTTTCCATTTATCGTATATAAGATGGACATATACGATATTCATACATATGTATAACCATATAGGTATATCACGTGCTTTTCATTTGCAATATTTGCGTGCAACACATTCCGCGCTTCGTACACACTGGTATGAACAACTAAACACTCGTTATATTATCAATATACAAATACTCTCATAAAGATGTTATGTAAATCTCATTTTATCCTCGAAAAGCACTAAATACACATATATCACCGCCGCTTTTTCTTATTTTCTTTAGGTAAGTATGTATGTGTATGTGTGTATGTGTGTGTATGTGTGTGTATACCTAGACAAAGTATAGGAGGACTTGCTACGACGACGATCGAAAAGGTTACGAATAAAATGCTAAATACTATCGCTGTACATTTTATATTATATTGTTCGTCATCGAATAACACACAATCGAGTCGTATGCTATTTAAGAAATCGCTACGTTCGATTTCTGACTACAGTGATTTAAAAAAAGTAAAATAATATATTATTATATTACTGAAGTTATGTACGGTGTATACCTATGTAATATTTATGCGTTTCAATAAATGTGTAAATAAATAATAACTTATAAAATGTGTTTTAAAACGTTCCGAGTTTATATAGATAAAAAAATTTGCTGATCTAATTTAATTTAAACATGGTAGTATAATAATATTATACATGAAAATAACATTTAAATATATTATAATATTATGTTTTTCGGTGATTTTAATGTTAACTTTTTGACATAATATTTTGACACGAATGGTCTTGCTATTATGCCACAATAAGTTGTTAAAATATAAACAATTAATGGAGGTAATGAAATATAGCTACTTCCAAACGTATTAAATATTAATCAATATTGTATAACTTTATTAGCTCGCATTTTAACCATTAAGGCCGTAAATGATTTCGTTGCGCAACTGTAACAACTAACAAAACAATGCGGAAATATGTTAATAAAATGCTTTCGATATACCTGTAACAAAATATATTCCAGGTAAACACACGATTTATAATTTCTTACAAATATTTATAGTGTTCAATTGTCGTATTTAGACAAAAACATTACTGCCTATTAAAATAAAACGTAATTCATTTTGCAAACATGAAAACTTCAGAGAAATATCTCATTTATTTATTTGCTATTTCTTTTTCTTTTTTTATATAATTCACTTATATCATTTAAAAGGCAATTTTGAGCTATTTAAATTACTTATTATAAAATAAATTTAAGTACAATTCGACTAAACAAAATACTAAACAGTTTATTTATATGTGTTCGATAGTTTAGGCATACATTTACTTATATTTTGAAGAATATGTTAGGATATAAATTATAGATGTTAATCATTATTATTATTTTTATTGGAATGTTAACATTTTTAACTTTTGAAAAAAAAACTTACTGATAGTAATAAATAACCTATAACCTACCAATAGGTTTTATAGAGTATGTATAGAATATCTTAATCATAAAATGTAATTTAACCATTCTGTTCACAAAACTAGATTAGTAATATTATAAAAAAGCCAAATCTCTAACTGATCTCTGTTATAAATCAATTGAAAAATGGAAGTTAAAACAGCTTATAAAATATATACTTATTCAAATTTTCAAAGGAATATTATAACATAATATTTAGTATTATTATTTTGAGTGTATAATGAGGAAGTGTTCATGCGTTTAGAGTTTTTAAATGAAAATCGTTGTAGGTATTTGGTAATTATTAATTAATAAAAAAATATGTCAACGAATAAATCATTACAGCCGAGTTTTGAACCAGTTTTTTAAGAAAAATAACCACATTTTGTTTGCAACTACAATTAATTGTACTATAATGATCGTTGAGGGTTTTTTCACTTTTTCACTCTCGATATATACGTCTGTCGTATATAATATAATATATATCGTATACAATCTTACGTAGGTAGTTAACCTAAAGTGTACAGCGAATGAATCACCTTATACGGCGTTTTGTCAGTAGCTCGTCGACCCGAAGCATTTTGATAATAATTAATCACAAAGTAGACTAAACACGGATTGTGGGAGTGAAATGCGAAAAAATAAATAATAAAAATAAAAAAAAAACCGTATTATACCTATAAATTTAATAAAATCATGCCGGCGCGTATACGCGCACGCCAGTCAGTGGACCAGTTTGGCGACCCACCATCAGGACATATAAATTACAGACATTCTTAACAAGGTTATAGCAACGACCATTGGATCGGGCGAATTGCGTAACCCCGCGAGACCTGCACGCCATTATGCCGCGGTATCGAGTCTTATAGGTATTACACAGACAAACTACAAACGCTACGTTATAATAATATATAATACACGAATAATATAATGTATATCTACCGTATGTCCGCGTGTTAATTCTAAGCTCACGAATCCTCCGGCAAAGTCCGAACTGACGTGTATATAGGTATACCTAATATTTGTATGCGTGTTATTTTTAATTACCAGCCAAGTTAAATACACATAATGTAGGCATTATAATATATATTATTATAATTAGCGTATACCCCCGCAAGACGAGTTAAATGGCGCAACAGCATGAATATCCCGTAACAGCAGACCACTGCAACTGAAATGTGTGCTAACCAGCTGAATGTATTTCCAGAATGCAAAACGGTTACGACGTCCATAACTGGGACTAAAAATTTGACGCTCTATAGAACCATATACTATAATAAAATATTATAAGCATTTAAAAGTTATGCACTAAAGAAAAAACCGAAAATATATGCAATTATTATTGTTTTTGATCATAGGCATGTTTTTTACAGTAAAAATTGCATAGTATTTATTTTTTAAATCTATCAAATAATTGAATTATAAATAAATAGTTTCCTACTCTTCCCATTTACAATTAATTTACTGAAGTTATGTATACTAAAAATGCAATCTGTTTTCGATAAGTATAAAGTCGTTCGTCATGAATTAGATAATTAAAATTTTATATCGATACATATTTTTTTCATCTGTAAATTAGGTATTTTTTGTATCAACCACCAGGTATGTGACAAAAAATAATGGAATCAATAAATATGTTTTGAAAATTAAATTATTTTTAAAAATTCTCTGAAAACTTTTGACATTTATATTATATAATAATACTGTTATAAATAATAACAATTTCTGGTGCACCAGAAATATATTATATTAATATATTATTCCATGGAATAAACTTAAGAGTACATTTTTATATATAGAGTTTTCACATTATATTCAGAAAAATGTTATTGTGTCATAGCGTTTTTATTCTATCACGATTATCTAATACTTTAAATTGCCTTTAAGTTATCAAAATAATAAAAACGCTACTAACTTAAATATAATAATAATATAATAATTTATGCTAAATAAATAAAACTATAAAATTTTATGGTTTTGACATTTTACAATAATAGTTTGAGTATATTAATTTACACTACATCGTCTATCACTGTAAAGATTTTATCCTCATCAGTCATCATAACAGACGATTATAGAGTCTCAAAAAAACAAAAATTAATTTATTACTCAAACTAAATAACTAATAATTATAACAGGATTAATTTGCGTGGTAACAATTTGGTGAAGCTACTTTATGAATATTGTTTCCGTAAGTTAGATTAGGTTAATCATTTTCATACATAAATAAGTTGTGGTATGGCGATCTCTAAATATAAAATAATATTGATATATAATATGAACTATATCGTTGTATTATATATTACAAATGTAAGATAGGTATAATGTTTCGCAGATCGCAATAATATAAACATTGTATTAAGTACAAATAATTTCTCTATTAAAAACTTAAAATAACTACAGTAAAATTCATAATTTTTTTTAATTATTAATTTATTTCGAATTTTTTTGATAAATTAATTTATTATTATTGTGTTTAAAACTCCTTAAATAATGTGAACATTTATAGAATTTGGTATGATTTATATACGTATACTAAAGATTTATTTACCTGGGCGCCGTTTTCAATAGTTACTCATAGGCTATAGTAAATAATGGTTTTATGAAACGTATATTTGTATTTTAAAATGTAAGGAACAAAATAGTTTATATAATATATAGTATTTTGAGAATAACATTAGGTAATAAATTATAGTACTTTGTTTATAATTAAATATAAAATTTACCTAGGTGAAATAGTTATTAAATTATAAGCTTGAGTAATACAATTTATTGAATATCATCATACTTCATTGAGTAAGTTATAATAATTATTATCATCGAAATTATTATTGTCCGTCTAATGAAAAACAAAACTACAATTTCCAAAAATGATTTATAATGAAAAAACAATATTGTGACAATGATTAAACAAATAATATCATCAGTATATTAATAAAAATAATTTTAATATTTTAATAATTATTATCAGAGTATGACAATATATTGGACATAAAAAATACTAACACGTATTTTGTCATGTAATAACAACGCCCTTGTAATAAAGGGCGTTGTCGTTATTAATAAATTATAAGTTTAACAAATACATAACAATGTTATAATAATCGTGGGGAATGGATTACTATACTAACTTACTATTTGCATATATTTTTATAAAATACCAATAAATAGGTAGATAATAGGCAGAATCTCATAGGTATTATGTTTTTTGGTCGACTATTTATCTCTTTTGTTTTTATTATTTGTATTTTAATCTTTATAGCGATAAAAAATATTGTTTTTTTTTCTGGTATTTTCCAGGGATAATTTACTATTTGTGTTTTATTGTGCTTATTTTGTAATTTTCAAAACATATTTTACAATTATTCTTAAGATAATATTATAAAAATATAATTCTGTTTTTAAGTGTTATGAAATACAATCTTCAAACAGTAATTATATTTTTTTAGATTAATAATTTGTCAATTGAAAGCATTATTAAAGCTAAATAATTGATTTTTAATAAAATAATAAAATAATAACATTGTTACCGTTGACTTTTCTAGCGAGTACCCAAAATTATTACTCTAAGTAGTATATTGTACAATTAATACCTACACTTAAAATATATACTCTACAGTATTCATGTTAAGTGTTTACACTTGCAATAAAAAATATAATTATGGTGTAAATTAATAATTATTATTTATTATCTATTTATAAAATACTTTAAATACATTCATTTTCCAGTATATTTTTAGAATTCTATTAAATCTTTATTATTAACAATTGTTTTTAAACTATAAATCACATTTCTATATTGTTTATTATAACTCGGCTGTTGTAAATATTACTTTCTCATTAAAAGTGACCTATATAATATTTAACATGTATAATAGAAATATCATAAAAATTGTAAATGTTAGAATATAAAAATATAATCCTATATTTTACTTTCCAATATTATACGATTTGTTCATATTTTAACCTGCAGAAAATGTTTCCACAGTCGAGCTACAGCTGTAATTATGATGATCGATAATCAATATTTAAACGAAAAATCAAAATGTCGACCCTGAGCTGAGCAAAGAAATTATTATCTATTTTATTATATATCTCTATAATCATGCATTTGAATTAATATGTTTCGTATTTTATGTATAACACATCTTTATGATCATTATAAATCTTAACCGATTGTAAATTAGATACGAGTTCCATAATGTGTATTTAATACTTTATAAACAAGAGTTTTACTATACATTTCATATAGACATTCTGGAACATAGTAAAAAAAAAAAAATGGGAAAATTATTCAGCAAATCAGTTTTAGAAAACATCTTGGTTATTTTATGACAATTTTAAAAATAATAATCATACGGGGATTTTGAATTTGCGCAGTATCATTATACGCAACATTTCATAAACAAGACAAATTTTCATTTCGCAATTATTTTATTTTATCGTTTACTGCAGAATACTCATACAATACGTTTTGTAATCCAACATATTAGATGACCATAATTTTCAAAACTATAATTTTATGTTATTTCTACTGCCTACTCGTAAGTTAATACTCTCCATATTCCAAACACCTTATTGTCTTAAGGTATTTAGTTACTACCTAGCTAGTATACATAAAACCCACACAATACGTTATTATTATTATTATTATTATCAACAAAAAAATGAAAATAACAACCAGGTGATATCGTATTATTGTCGAACGATCTTCGTATATTAGTTTTTATTACGACTTTCAACCCGATCGTATAATATATTATTATATTATTATAAACCGCAAATTCTACATCACAATATTATAATATACGATCGGCACGAGCGATAAAAATAACACGCTTTCAATATTAAATAAGTCGGTCGAGTATAAAACATTATGTGCATTATAATATTATGTATAACATAATGGTTGGCTGCAGTAGAACGCATTAACCAGTATATAAATACTGTTTAAACTACGATGCTATTGTATTACGATGGTAATGTTACCATAACAATAAGTGCAATAAAATATGGCACGTACAGTGTACATAATAATTATATGTATTTTGTAGGCATGGTGACAAAATCTTGTTTATGGCCATAATAATATTATAACACCTGATATACACTACTAACCACTAGATTTGAGTACCTATGTAAACATTATTAACACCAGGTGCTGTCGTTATAATAATGTATATTATAGTTGATTAAGTGATTAGGACCGATTAACCTAACCTAACCAACCGATTTCGAATTTTTCAGAATTTCTGCGAATTCAAATTTAAACGTAAAGATAAACAATATTAATATATTATAATTTTTGTTATTACGTAATCGCTATAACAGTTAGAATATTTTAGGTGAAAAGCGACTAAAAACCATAATATGAGAGATATTTAAAAACAGATTTGAAGAATATATAAAAGACGCAATGCGGGAAAGTTAACAAAGATAAAACAAAAAATTGTAGTTCTACATGATAAAAGATGGTAAATCTATAAAGTAACTTCTCGAAATAGTGATGATAAAAATAACAATTTTTTATTTAAATCAGTTTACTTAACATAAATTCCACCATTTTCATAGAGCTTAATTTTGATTTAAGTTAACTATTAGACCCTTTACAACCATTTTACATTTTTATTTTATAGATTTATATCTGTATTCCTATAACCTAACCTATGCATTATATGTTTATAAAAATATCAAACTCAATTTTAGTATATCTTAAATAAAAAATATTTTTGAAATAATATTACCAAATACCAATACTAACCAATGCAGTAGATATTTTTAGCAATTATCACTGGGCGACATTAAAAAAAAAATTCACGTGACACGTCATAATCAAAATCAACATATATGTTTTAAAAATACTTTTCAGAATTATATATACAAAACCTTACCTATATCTAACAATACCATCAAAAATCAAAACACATAAACAAGTACAAATAATTTATATGGTAAACTTATTCTTTTTAGTTAAAAAAAGGGATCAATAACGTACAGTTTACGTATTTTTATATAAGTATAAAAAACAACATATTAAAATAAATATAAGAATTAGCTTGTAAGAACCAGGACTAAAATAAAATCGAAAATAATTTGTAAATATTTATTGGAACAACTGATCACCGGATGAAAGATGTTGCATTGTCGCATAGAATAAATTGCTTCTTGCATACAGTATTATCTATATGAGTACCTAAGGTGATCGGTTATACGAGTTTTCCATCGTAGAAAATTTTTTGTACTTCCAAATTCAAATTATCGAACGAAATAATATAAATATAAATAACAAAATTAAACACAAGAAATGCCTAATTATATAATAATTTTAAACATCGTCATTTTTACAAATAATCGTTGTCGCCCAGTAATTAAATATATGGTCTACTTATGACTATTTACCAAAATACCATAATATGTCAGAATAGTCATATAAGAGAAATAGTATCAATAAAAATAATCTATAGAAAATTATTTCTTTAAAATTATATGAGCAAACAATTTTTTATAATTTTGCTGTTCTATGATATTTTACATGGTGGGATATTAAAAATAATCAAAAAACGAGTCAATAAAAAAAAATTGCCACAGTAATATAATCTAGTTTATGTATCTATAATATTATGTAAAATATCATAAGTAATACTTTAAATATAATAATATTAAATATACTAGAACTCTTCCATTTGTATTAGTGAATAGTGAGTAACGTATCGAATGACAATAATAATAATAATAATAATAATATTTAAATAAAAATAAAAATAATCTTTGTTGACTTCATTGTAATTCTACATATTCATTTAGTTGACTACATTTTTTATACATTCTACAACAATTAGGGTTATACTTTCATGTTAAAACAAGTCTTATAGTGTATAAAGTATGAATACATCAATAATGTATATCAATTTACGTTATACAGATCATCTTTGGCCTCGATTACTAAAGTCGGATATCATACAAAAGATATTTTCCGAATGAAAAACTGTGGCTTAAACTAGAGAAACATTATTGCAATCATTAATGATAAATTAACTTTTCTGCACATCTTGGTCATGTATTAAGTTATGCACCAAAACTTTTTAATTAAATAAAAATATACAACAGAAAATGGTCGATCTCATTTTTAAAATAATTTGAAATAATCGGAATTATAATTAAAAACAGATGTAATTTGTTACTGTTAACTTTAAGTAAATTTTATATTATACATTTCATATTCAATGTCAGTGCCTAAATTTTAACACTTTAATTTTTCAATATATTAAAATCTTACATAATTTCACCAGGAAACAAATGCAATTTGGTATACTACTAATATTTTATAGAATAATACAATATATTGAATTTCAATAATTCTATTATATATTTTAATATTTAACACTTTTAGAATTAATTTTAATTTTTTTGTCTATTTTAGCGGAAATTACCGATATCAAATTCTTATGTCTAAACGGGACGGTATTCGATCAGGAAACCAGAGTTTGTGAACGTTTGGACGAAGTGGATTGCAGTAGGAGTGAAAGTTTCTTTGATCTTAACTTGGAGTTATACGGAAACAACGGAGCTGGCTATGGGTAAATAATTGTTTATTACTGCAATAAACGAATCTATAACATAAATAAGGCATACAGAAACAAACGTTAAAATAAGTGAATAATTTTATGGAAAATTATTTAATGGAGCTGAAATATTTAAAGGTATATTTTATATCACACAAAAAATATTTTGGGTCCGTTCGAAAATTAATTTAACAGGTTTATACATTAAATTTTTGAGATTGCTATTTTATTATGATCCTGCAATAAAATTATCATACAAGTTGTCGACAAGAATAAGTTGTTTGCCCTGATCGTTTTTACTATTTTGTTTACCACTTTATCGGTAAAATAAATGAAATATAATATGATATGCCCAATGGCCATATATACATCGGTATAAAGGCGATAAGCAATACATTGAAATGTGTGTGCAATGTATATTGTATTATAATATTATGTTATAACAAATGTATTTACTTGATTAAATGATTTTAATAAATATTAACACAAATAATTATAGCACAGAATAAATATTGTAAGATACCTATTTAAATTTTACACGTTTTTATTTAAACCCGTAATTATTGTATTCAATAATCAATAACATAGAACACTTTCAAAATATGACGTGTGCTAAGTAGTATAATCTGGCATGCAGTAGTGTAATAGTCAATATTCGTCGTTTTGACATAACATGTATTTCAACATTATATAATAAGTACCTATTTAGTTTACCAAACATATTTAAAGAAATAATAATAATTCCAACTAAAAAATAATTATTTGCACAATTTTAGTCGTGCACTATTTTATTATTTATCTATTAAATTTAATTGATTTTTTGATCGAAACAAATATATTGTGTAGCGTTGTGAATAATAAAAAATCAATTAATTAAGTCTCATAAAAAAAAAGTAATAGTAATAATAATTACTAATAACAAAACATATATACCTACACACTAAGCGCATATTCAAACATATTACAGAAATTTCTAAAGTATTACATTATTCTAAATATTATTTTGATCCTTATACAAGTATTGGCAATTTAATATTTATATAAACATGTGCTATAATTTTTCTAAAACCTATATAATATAAAGTTATAGTATATAAGTACATGTTTTGTGAATACAAATCTTTTTATTTAATTAATATGTAATTTACAACCAAATACAATGGTTATATAATTGATTTAATTAATTGATGTAGTCCGTTCGTTAAAAGAAATGAAAATAATTAAGTAAATCAAAACTAAAAAATGACTGAAACGATGTTTAAAAGTTAAATCGCAAAAATGCGCATGTCCCCGCGTGATTATGTTATTATAATCTCTCATGTATGTATGTGACAAATGATTGCAGGATCGCACCGGAAGAACCACCGGAACAGGATTCAGTGCAGTGTAACGTGGACGAAGAAGAGTGTTCCGGAACATCTGATTACTTTGATGAGGAGATTACCACGGTCGCGGGGCCAGTGGGCTCATTGGCAGCCACAGCGGCGGTCATTGCCACGACGGCATCAACGACCACTTCCACCACGAGTACTACCACCACGACTCCGCGGACGACCACGATCAGTGCGGCCACGAGTAACAAGCGTCCGTCCCAGCCGATAACGATGACGAGCACGGTGAAACCAACGCAGCAGTCGGCCGTCTCGTATCCGACAAACTCACCGGAAACGATAGCGGCCCTGATAGCGCTGCACAACGCGTTTCAAGAGAGTCTCAAAGAACGGGAACAAGGGCCCGGGCCCAAAGGGCAGCAGGCCCATCACAGGTACCATCCGTCACCGCCATCACCGTCGCCGCCACCGCAACAACAGCAGTCCAAGCCGTTTACGGTGGCCAACTTCCAACCACCACGACACTTCCCGTCCAAGTCACCGCAGCAACATCTGCAACAGCAGCAGCATCTGCAGCATCAGCAGCAGCAACAGCAGCAACCGCCACCACCTCCGTACCGACATCAACAGCAACATCTGCAACAGTTCCAACAACAGCAGCAGCAGCAGCAGCAGTTGCAGCATCCGGTATTACTGTCGTCCGAGCGGTTTGGAAACCAAAACTTCCGTCACGGCTTCCGGCTGCAAAACGAACCACCCCCACCGCCGCTGCCGCCTCCCGCAGACGAGTCGCCTCCTCCGTCTTCGTACCAACATCAGCAGTATACTGGAGACGGTGCGCAGTACGACGGTAACTACGACGAAACCGTCGCGGCCATCGGACTAGGCGACGAAGACGACGTGGACGACGAAGAGTCACGACGGAACTTTGCACGCGAAGCTCCCGAATCTTCGGTCTCGGTTTCGGTGCAGGTCAGCTCGTCGTCGACTAAAAACAGTGCCATCAACCAGCAGCAGCAGCAGCAGCAACAACAACAACAGCAGCGGCCGACACAAGTGGCCGTCGCCGTTGCCGCAGAGTCTGCGACGCCCACCGCGACCACAACGACGACCACCACGGCGGCCACGGCCACGGCGGCTAACCTTCCGTTCACGGTCAAGCCGTCACTGCCGCAGCCGCCTCCGATCGACGCCGATCCGAACGGTGGTGATCTGTACGAGGACGAGTACGAAGAGTTGGAAGGCGACGAAGAGTTCTTCAAGGACGTGCCAAAAGTGGGTCAGGACAGAAGAAGAAGATACGCATTGGGCGGTGGCAGACGAGCGTAGCGATATGATGATGATTTTTATAATAATAATAATAATAATAATAATAATAATATTGTCTTTATCGTTGCAACCGTGTACGACGCGGGAACGGCCGTCAAAGTCACCGCGATGAGACGATCGAACGCAGTTTAAAATGTTTTTGCTCAATAGTTTTGCGTTTGCTGTTGTGATCACGACTATATACTATATGTACGCAAATACGGCCATTTTTTTTACTTCTCGTCTTCCGTCTGTCGTGTGTTCTTTTACGCCGACGTCCCTGAATCCTACTTCTCCTCCTAATATCTGTCTGCTACTCTCACTTTTTACTCACCCCTGTCCTATCTGCGGGCTACGAGTAAGAAAAACGAAAAAGTGATTTTTTTTTTTTTGTTTTATTGTTTACCTAAATTGTTTATGTATAATAATATTAGACGATTTTTTTTTTTTTTTACGAATACGCTAATGATAATTATAACCTTATTATAAATATTATTATTTTTGCAATAATTCTGTCGTGTAAAAAAATATACACTTCCTTACTATTCCTATACAACTGTCATATATAATCAAAACTCGGGACTAATAGCACTCGCATGTACATGATTAACTGGTATGTTCGTGTAGGATTTATTTATCATTTATAAATTCTCCGAAATTGTTTCATTCAACCTTTCTATAATATTAAATATATTAATACGAATTTTGATTTTTTTTTTTTTTTTTTGCTGTTCTCGTGGTTATTTTTTGAATAAATTATTTTCTTGCCACTATTTAAATGTCATATTTAACTGATAGTAATAACATTTTTTATCACTATTTTAATTAAAGGTTTAGATTTAAAAAAATAAGTTTGAGGTATTCATAAATTTTTACGTAATTAAGTAATATTTTAAATAAGCGCTCAAGTCCCGACCATGATTATATATAAATTAGTATAAACGATATTGTGTCCTGTACGATTGAAATAAAATATGTTACAAGCAACTCATACAGATGTTAAAATAAAAGAATATATTTATTTATATAATTAATATTCATTTGAATTAACCGAGTATAATATTTAGGAATGTTACACACCTCATAAGCATATAATAATATAGTATGTATTATTTTGTATTTTTTTACCCTTGAAAACACAACAGTTTTAATTTTATGTTTTTCCTCACATATGATGGGTAATTTAGACTGATACATGTTATTATTATTATTATACTCGGATTATTGTGTTTAGTTTTACGAAAAGCGTTTAATATAATACGATATTAAAATTGTTTATCATTTTTAGTATTACGTTAATATAATTTTATTTTTATTTCCGCTTCTATCGATATCTTGCCATCTTGATTATTATATTTACATGTGTACGTTCATTTTTAACGATTTCTATAAAATGAAGTACCTACTTGTAATGAATTCCATATAACCATATACATATAATAGGAAAATAATAATGTTATGCAAACATATACCATATAAATTTATAATATAATATATTATGTCGAATTATACCGAAACCATCAACAAAGATAAAAATGTCATTATTAAGCTGTACATTTTTCGCTAAGCGATTTTAAGTAATGTGCCAATTAACATAATATTATAATTTTTGTTAACTTTTTGTATGATTGAAATATATTCGCCATTGGATAAATCAATCAAACAATAAAATTATAAAATAATATATAATGAAACAATAATTTTATTTCCTATTGTATTATATATCTATTACGATATTATTTGTATAAACTATTTTAGGCATTAAAATAAAATTGTGTAAATAAATGTTATGCTGTTTTATTCTGATAAATTTGATTTCGCACAAAATGCATTACTGAATGCTAGAAAGTATATTTATATCATTGGTTCTATAGCAGAGAAAATGTATGAATTTCAGAGTGTCTTTTGATAATTTAAAGAGTTTTAACACATTTTTATAATTGTATTATAAAAACAACTGTATAATTATATAAGTAATATTATTTATATATTTTAACGACTGTCAACCATACCGTATATTTTATTTAAACAAAAAACCTCTTGGTTAAATAAAATTAAAATCGATAAATTTCAATAAATATATACCCATTCAATTTGTCAGTACTATAAAGAATTATATGATTGTGTAATTAGTTATTATTTGTGTAAAAAATATAATGTTACTACGAAAAAAATCATAAAAGGAAATTAATCATACTGGATACGTCTTGATAATTAAATCTATAGCAAAAATGTATTTTTTATTATTAGTTAAAATTGTATTATATAATAATAACCTAAAATAGGTATTTAAAAATATAGTGAATTCATATTAATACAAATGTGTGTTGTGTCGTTATGGGTGATTATAAAATTAAAAAAAAAAATTGAATTCTATACTAAATAATTGGGTTTTTGATGAGAAAAACATTTATATAGTAAATAAGTGAAATAATGTTGGTGTTAAATATTTTAATGTTGTCATAAAAAAATCTCAAAAATATCTTCAAAGTTAGAAGAGACCTCGCCGTAATATTTACATCTTGATTTAAAAATAATAGTGATATAAATATTGCGGGATTATTCTTCATTTCTAAATATTTATATACACTTTAATTGTAACTATTACCATTGATTACAAATAGTATAATTTAAAATAATAATGCTGTTACCCTAAATATATCTTTTTTTTTTATTTTAAATAAGTAATATACAATCTGTACCAGAAGACACAATAAGCATATAGGCTCAGAGTATAAAACTATGACATGATAAAATTGAAGAAAGAAGCCACCCATTGGTGATACTTACAAAAGGAGAGTTTATATGTTAATTAATTAAAAGATCTCGGCACCACCCCCTAAATATTAACATAATGAATCTACTCATACTTTGTTATAAAAAAAAAAATTATTGTAGTAATAATAATATAGTCCGATAATTTATCATTTTATTTTTGTTTATAACTTATAAACTACTTTTTACATGTATATTAATATTTTAAAATTAGGTAGGTAGTTTATTTGTTTTGAATAATATATAACATCTAAGTAATATTTGGTAGATTAAAAAAAAAAAGTATAGTGATATTATTTCATTATAATTTATAAATAATAATAATGATATACTTAATATATGAATAATGAAGTTATTTATTGAAATAGATCTAAATCATAAACATATAACTTGGTATAATTCTTTAAGTAGAACTTGAATTGAAGTGTAATAAGGAATTTTATACTAAAATAAAAAAAATTCTGGACAAACTTATTATTTACCTGATAGATATATTATCATAATTTATACTGAATTAAAAATCTTTTTTTAATAAAATAAATGTTTAATGTATAGTATAAACTTTATTAATCAAGTCATTAATTTAATTTATTGTAACTATTTATTACGTTTATTATTTAGTACCTACAACACATAAAATAGTAAAATTAAAATTAGGTTTAATTAAACCAAACAATATGTTTTATGTATTTATATTGAATGATTAAATACATATTATGTGTTCATATTTTGATTTTTAGTTGTATTCAGATTTGAAAATCATTTAAGAACTTAAAATTTACATAGTATAGAACTGTAGTGAAAATAGTTAATATTTCGAGGGTAACTTGATTTTTTTAGTTGGCATTTATTAAGTCAATTTTATTAACTAAGGCTCTATGACAATAGTATTTACTATTTACTGTCAATGTAGTCAAAGTGAAAAAGTATATAATATAACTACAAACAGTATATGGCTGATGAAAATATAATGTGATATATAGATCTATTGGTAAATTAGACATTTTTATAATATTTTTTTAACATATTTTCATAACAAAACAGAACTAAGCAATTTTTAAAGTGTTTACTGTCATACTATATGATGGTATAACTCACATGGCTCATAAGTGTCATATTATAGTATTTTATTATACAGCATGAACTTGTAAACACCTATAGACAAATTATATCTCATGACCGTTTAATCGTCGTTTTTATACTATGTATTTTAATTTATAAAAACACTTATAATATTATTATTTTTATTTTTTACTATTTATATTAGTAATAACTATGATAAAAAATTAATAGCTCAACAGTTATATTTTTTAGGCATGATAATAGATAGAGCAGAACTGATATATATTTTATAATTTTTATTTAATATTCAATTATTTTCATCAGAATATTTTGTTTTAAAATATTCAAATATTAACATGCATATTTTTAAACAGCTTATTTTGAAGTTATTTGATATAATTTTTTCTTTTATATATATAAAACATCTAGATACTTATTGATGTGATACTATGAAAAATAAATCTTTATGGCTGAATTAAAGAATTTCATATTAAAACAGATTCATGAAGGTAGTGTGAAATCACATAATACAATTGTGTATTACTTAAAATAAGTTTATAATTATTATAAGTCTTATCCATAAATAATTTGTTTATTTAATTAAAAACGAATATAATGCTATAATTTTTTTTACAAAATAATATATGCAAATTTAACTATAACTTATTATAATTTGTCTTAGAAATCATAACAAAATTTGTTGCTGCAAAAAGAATAAACAAAATGTATGCATTTTCCTATATTCGACCGTTAACATCGGAAACCGTGTAAATATTTGTACACAAATATCTCGCTACACATATATTCTCGCTCTTGATGACATATTATACGCATAAACGTATTAGATGATATTATTAAATACGTCTATGCATAATATAGCATGTATGATTTAATACATTAAACGAATCATAATAATATCAGAAAAAAATCCATATCATATATGTTATAATATTTCTATCAATAACGTATTGGGTATACGATATGACCCTGAAGTAATGCCGTTTTTCCGAGTAAAATAATAGAAAGACCGTAACGATATTAACGTCATGTTGCTTCGGGTGTCACAAAGGTGCAATTGTGCGCGATTGCGATAATAGTGTGCAAATTCCTCGCTAATGCGAAATAAAGACGTTTTCGAAAATGCCACTTTTGCCGGTCGTGGGTGATTACGCGGCGGGCTCCTTAGACCTCCTACCACCAAACCGACCATTTGCAGCATACGACGATATCCATAAGTGAACGTCTACTATATAAGCCCAAAACGGCAGTCGAAAAGACACATCATTCGATCAGTCGGCTCTTCGAACACACAGAGCACTTTACCAACAAGCCGCCTCCACAGCCAAACACATCGCTCGACATCACTCGACGAACACACTCGAAATCAACACTCGTCACAGACCTTCAACAACGACAACAACAACATGTTCAAGTGAGTCTAAATTATTATTATTATTTTTGTACTTATTTATCAATAATATTAACGGTACGTCGAGTACGGACTTGCGGTCGACGGATTTAACTCGATGGACGTTTTCCGCCGAAACGCAACACATAATAATATATTTCAATACTCGCGTGACATTTCAAATAATTTATTGTGTATTAATATCACTGCGTAACACAATATGGATAACGAAAAAACGATTTTGTCGCCGTTCACACAGGTACACGGTCGTGATCGCAGCGGTGGTCGTTGTATCGGCGTCTCTGGCCAACTCCGTGCCGGCCAACTCTTCCCCGACATCGGCCAACCTATTCGACCCGATGATCGGCGCGGCCACAGCCGCACACAAGAACAAGCACGTCAAACCGGACCACCACCAGCCGATGTTCGCGCCCGAACCGTATAACGGACAGCGCAACAACCGCGGCGGCGGCGGCGGCAGCAGCGTATTGGAGTCCGGCCTGTCCGCCCTGCTCGAGGCGATCAGCATCCCGAAGAAGATCATCGGCAGCGTGATCGGAAGCGTGGTCGATCTTCTCAAGTCCGTCGACCTGAAAAAACTCATCAAGATCGCCCTGATCGGCGGCGCGGTGATCGTGTTGGGCGCAGTGGCCGCGGCCGGCGTCGCCGGTGTCGCCGCCGTCGTGGCCGCCGTGAGCGCGGCGATCCCGTACATCCGGTTCTTCTTCGGCGGCCACAAGGGCGAGGCTTCCGATTCCGAGATGGACCTCATCAGTGACTTCGTTTTGAGCGCCTTCAACAAGTACGACAGTCTGCACAAGGCAGAGTGACGCCACCCGTAATGCTATATTATTGTTTTATATAATTATTGACCGTTGGGTTTTATTTATTGTAAATTATTAATATTCACGACGCGCCGACAACGGCTTACCTATATTTATATTATTTATATTATATTATTATGTTTTTAGTGTGATCATAAAATAAACAAAAATTTTCCACTCTTATACGCACGTCTCATCACCTTTTGCCTGTAATATTAAAATGGTATGTGTTTATTCGAGGTTTCCACTATAACCATAATCACGGTAAACAATTGTGTTTATTGTATCGGTTGTAAAAAACTCTTTGCAGAACGATGACTGCACGTTGTAATGAATGCCTGCGTGCATTGAATATATTCGAATGTGCTCTTAAAGTATTTTGTTGAAATATAACTTTATAACGTAAAAAAAAAAAAATGAATTCAAAGGTAGCTTATTAGTCTTCGTGCTGCTGTTACTACACAATTATAACGTATAAAGTTTATAAGCATAATAATACTATTGTCTATTTTTACTGGATGAACTGTTGTATATTTAAGGTTCATTAAATAGTTAGTAAAAATTTTTAAAAATCATTTAATTATTCGTTAAAATAAAATCAATTGGAAAATGTCACTAAAACAGACGATCAAACTACAACAGTTTAATAATTGTAGACGAGTGTGTTTAAGTATAATACAATATTATACTGCGTATGGTGTCCGACAACTGAGACTAACTACAACAAAACATCGCATTATTGCACGGATATTTTAGTTAATACGAATATTCTCTGTTATTCATTATAGATTCGGCAACAAAAATCACAGTTAAAAAAATGATATGATTAAAAACAAAATCTTGCAAATAATTTTCAATCATAAGTAATGATTCATAACTATAGGTTATTATTTTTTCTATTATCACCTACTCATTGTGGTGTTATGGTATATTGATATGTTGAATTATTATTTTTTCTAAAACAAATTACCTACCAATATGACATAAATTATTATCATTTTCATGATCATTATGTGAGTAACATAAAATTACCATAGAACAGTGTTAATAATAGTTGATGCTGTTAACAATTTCAAATTAGTTTAGTGTTTTGAAAATTTCATTGTGTGCTAAAAATAATAAATTACATGAAGGCAAAAAATATGAATTATCTATAAATAAATGTTAAGTTAAAAGTCTACAACATAAAATTAATAATCAAAAAAAGTTATATTCAGTCTAAATATTGTTTAATAATGCTTAAGAGTATTGTTTTTTATAACCTGCTATAATTCTAAAAATAATAAGCTTCGAAATATATCTTTAAAAAAATTGTAATAATATTATAATAGTTTTTAGTTGGAGGAAGAATATCTACGTATAAAAGAAGTATTTTGACTTTCGAACAAAAATTATATAATTGATACACAAAAGCGAAAACAATTAGAAAATCAGTCAATAAATAGCACAAAAAAGAATAAAATATTTATCATGTCTAGAAAATTCAAAATAAATAAATATTCAATAAAAAAAGGTTTGTAACGCCATTCCTCATAACTGATATATAACATTCTATTAATATGTTTATCATTTTATAAATTATAAATCACTTTAATAATTATTTGGTTATAATACACAAACATAACAAAAAGAACAATATTCATGTTAATAATTTGTATACGTATAGTTCATTTTAAGTATTCTGTAATATATCTAAATGTAACATTAAAAGTTATACTATTTTATATTTTTTTTAAATAATCCATTTGTTGAAATTATAGTTTATAAATACTTTTATAATAACATTAAAAAAAAAAAAAACGATCACTTAAAACTTATAAGTTATAACCAAGTTGGTATAATCCGACTACCATGTTTTAATTCTCGAACTTAATTTAATTAATGTTGTATAAATTGATATTTATTATAAGAATATTCTATTTTAGCCAATTCTAGTGGTTATTTTTATAT